CGAAGACCAGACTGCATGTCAGAATGGCCTCCACACACAGATGACCAGCGGTGTCTCCTCCGAAGACCAGACTGCATGTCAGAATGGCCTCCACATGCCCTTAGCTACATGCTTGGCATACAGCAAGTAGTTAATCATTATTGAGTGAAGGCTTTTCGTGACCAAATTAGCCCTCGATGACTTTCTTCTTCCCTGGATTCTGACAAGAAATGGCTGTTGCAACTATTGATCACCCCTTCCAGAGGGGGAAAAAAAAATCCAAGATTCAAGGAAACAATTAGTTCAAAGGGCTAGTAGACCATATGAACCACAGTCTGCACTACCCTCAGACCAGAAGAATTTGATGGTGCCCAGTTACCACTGCCTTTGATCAGGACTATCATTGAAGTCCTGGACAGAGAGGGCAGGGGAAAAAGTAGACCGAAATTCAAAATCACAAAAAGACCAGGCTTACCGGGTCTGCTAGAGATGGGTGACGGGGAGAGGGTGGGGATGGGGAGTGGGACACCCCCCCAAGATTGTGGTCCTTAGACACCCTCCAAGGCTATCCCAGGCCAACAAAGTGAATACTACCACCAGGCAGGAAGACACGCTCTCCAGAACAATCAACTCTGACCAAAAAGGCAGCACGTACCCCAAAGCATAAATTCAAGCCAGGAAGAAGGACGATGGAACCCCCTGGGCCCAGGGAGGAAGTGGGGAGAGGGCTGCGACTTTGAGGGGATTGTGACCAATGTCACGAAACAAAACGTGTACAAGTTGTTGAATGGGAGGCTAACTGGCCCTGCAAACCCTCACTCGAGTTACAGTAAAACATGTTTAAAAAGAAGAAATGGCTGCACCGCCTCTTTTGGCCCTTTCGAACTCAGCTTCTTCGGCCGCCAGCTCTCCTGCTTTGTGTCGCCCATTTCCCCAACTGCAATGTAAACAATGCATTGCACCCAGAGGCCACTCACCAAATATTTGCTGACTGATGAGCCAGGACATAAACGGAACACACTGAATCTCCCAACATAAGGTGACACACGGTGTTGCTGTTGAATAGCAAGGGGGTGAGCCAGGTTCCCAGAAACCAGGGCCCTGCTCCAGGTAAGAACTCCCCAGAGGATTCCCAAGTCATTAAAGAAATGAGCTCTCCTTATCCACTCTGGATGCTCATGGCCAGCTGGTCAGGCTTGCTTTCTCCCCATGGGGTGACCTCCCTCCCACACCTTTACTGACCCCTTCCAGCAGCCGAGCATGGCCTTTCCCACCAGCCCAGGGTAGGAGGAGAGTCAGCCCCCTTCTATCCCACAAGCATACTTTCTCAAGGAACCTCAGAATCCAGAGAGGAGGTGAGAGCTGCCTCCTGGAGGCTGGCTCCTGGCTTCTCAGCAAGTCTCAGCAGGAAATCTCACCCTGGGTTTGAGGGCCAGCAGTGGTCAGTGTGCATCTCTGACACCAGGAGGTTGCCTGATCCTCATGGGCTCACGGGAGACCCCAGCTTCTCCTCAACTGACAGCGGTTCATCTCGACACTGATACTTTTGTGTGTTTTTATTCTGTCAGAAGTTAGGTTTTGTTGATGCTATTGCTGTGTTCTTGTTCGTTGATTTTCTTAGAGAAGAGCGGTCGCTCCACGCACTGGGGAACGACCCCCTTTGAAAGTGGCCACCCTCATCCAGGAACAGGCTGGACCAGGATAGGGGTGCACAAGTCACAGGCCAAGCGAGTGAGTCAGCTGGGAGACCGTCTTGTCCTCCAGCACTCTCAAGAAAGAAGGCAGGCTCCAGCATGAGTCACCTTTGACTCTTCTTTAAGACCCCTGTAGCCTCAAAGCAGAGGCTGACCTCGGAATACGCATGGTCTCTAATGGTCCTGGAGATGCGCTCCCTAAGATGCTCCAGTTCCACGTCTGGCCCTCTTCTCCCTTCCTGCCCTGCCCTATCATGTGCTGTCATCGCCAAAACAGTGTAAGGAGCTGCTCGGAGACGGCACATTCAGGTGATGGGACCAGAGGGGTGTTGTGTACAGAGATCGGTGGCAAAATGGTCGATGGATTTTGATTAAACTTCACTTTCCAGAACCATATGGCTAAAAGATAGACACACGTCCCTTTAGTCACTCTGCAAGTTGCTCAAGGGAAAAAACTGGGTTTATCAAGAAACACTAGGAGCACAGCAACGGAATCGTTCAGGGTTTGCATTCCCCAGAAAGCAGCCTATTCCCCAAGGTATGGACAAGTCCTTTTCCAATGACCCCACAGGGAGGGCCCTCGCACCGACATCAAGAAGCAGTTCCATTCCGAGGAAACAGCCAGAATCAAATCACTGATTACTCACCCGACCACTCTTACCCACAGGTCTGGGTTAGGCAGATGTTTGAAATCATCGGCATCGTTACATTGTAAAAGAAAACACCGAGTATACCGCAAACCCCCAATTCACTGCCATTGGGTGGAGTCCAACTCCTAGCGACCCTAGCGCACAGGGTAGAACAACCCCTGTGGGTTTCCAAGACTGCCTCTCTTTTCCAGGAGCAGGAAGCATCGTCTTTGCTCTTGAGGAGTGGCTGGTGGTTTTGAATTGATGACTTTGCAGTTAGCAGCCCTACGATTAGGCCACCAGTGTTCCTGAGATAAAAGAGACTTTATTCAGTATCGTGTCTGACATATAATAAGCACTCAGTAATATCAGTTCTTATTGCCAACATAATACCTATTTTTTACTATTCATACATATAAAAATAAGCATTTATGTAATAGAACACATCTCAAAATCTGTGTTATTTAGTGGTGTTCTTATCCCTCAAAGGAGCTCTGGTGGCACTATGGTTAAACACTCAGCTGCTAACCACAAGGTGGGCAGTTCAAACCCACCAGTCAGAGTTATGTGGGCACAGCATCAGTAAAGATTATAGCCTTGGAAACTCATAGGGTCGCCATGAATTCCACTTATGGCAGTGGGGTATTTTTCTTTGAGGGGGGCTCTTATCCCTTATCCTCAGGCTATTATTAAATGAATGTGTCTCATAGCTGATAGAATCTTAATCAAGGAAATAGTGGTGTTAATATTCAGCCCAGGGAACGTCCCCATCGTTCTTGGGAACAAGGATCCAAGTAGTTGCCTTCAATCAGGCCGCAGGGCTCATGGGGTTAAAACAGAAGGGGGGCCTGAGAAAGAGGGAATGGACAAGGAGAAGAGAGAGAAGGAGGTGGCCCCAAAGCTGTAGGCAGCAGGCCTGGAGACACTTGGAAGGGAGACAGGAAAACTGCCAAGTGAGTGTAACCATCTCAGCGATAAAGATGAGGCGACAAAGGAGGAGGGGGTGGGGAAAGGCAGTGGTGGGGGCGACAAAAGGAAGGTCAATTCCCTTGTCTCCCCAACACTGACCCTACAGCACCTGAGGGACTTGGCAGGAAGGTGACCGGGTCTCTAGGGGAGGGGGAAGGGGCATGCCACAAGGTGGAACTAGCAGAAGCCTTTTAAGGTGTCCGCTGGGCAGGAGGGGGAACAAAGGAGGTCCCCACCCCACACCCTCGGGGATGGGGCAGCGAGCGAGCTGGGTCGCGGTTACGGGAGGCAGAGCGAACAGGCAAAGTAGCGCTGGCGGTCAGGGGGCCCCGGATCAAAGGAGGGCCGAGAAGCTCCGGATGCGGGACAAGGGGAGACAGACAAGGGCCGGAGCCCAAACTGAAGTTGGGGATGTGAAACCCGGGGAGCGGAGTGCGCTGAGAGGAAGCGGGAGGGAATGGATGGGAAGGAGGCAGCGCGCCCCGGAGCAAAGGGCCCTCCGCCCCGGGGAGCGAGGAGCCGCCCGGCTTCTCACCTTTGATGTCGTTGGCCAGCGCCTTCCACGTCGGGGCGAAGGCGATGCAGTGGCCGCACCAGGAGGCGAAGAATTCCACCGCCCAGGCGCTGCGGGAGCCCAGCACGGCGCCGCGCAGCGTGTCCGCCTGCAGCAGCGTCAGCGGGTCGGAGGGCGAGTACAGCACCGAACGCCT